TAGGGGAGGACCGATAAGAGGTATTTACAAAGTTGCTGAAGGTGAGAAATAACACTGATATGCATTTTGTCTTCAACTCAAAACAGTTATCATGATGGCGTGATGAAGAAAATATTAAAAAAAAACAATTATAAATATAACCATGAACAAATAAATGAGATTTCTACATAGAAAATATATTAAAATATAAATATAGTGATTAGACTTAAGGAAAAAAAATGACAGAAAATAATGACGAGAAAAATAAGGCGGTGTTCTCAATTAACAGGTGTACACGAGCACACAGACAAGTACATACACACACACACACACTCATGTATGGCCATTTGTCTAGAAAATATGCCTTATTAAAAAGAATAGACATTTTATGTCGATTAAGTTTATCGGTCTTTTTTTCTAATATGTGGACAGCTTTCACAAATGTGGGTGTTGTCGACATAAAGAATAACCACATTATTTATGTGCATTTACGAAATTTCTTACCTCTGCAAAAAAGTTATTGGAAAAGTAATCATAGATTATTATTATTATTAGAACAAATGATCAATAAATTTAATAAACATAAAATAACTTTTTAATAAGACACACACATACATATATATAAAGGTGTATTTGAGTAGCAATCCCTCTTTTATACAAGTTCCATTAAAGACGATTGACAAGGTACTGCGATTAAGTCTTTTGTGCAATTCTCTTGTGTTCGTATGAGTGTTTCCTTTTCTGGACATAAAATGTGAAAAACTGTCCAAATGTTCTATATATCTGAGTGGTTTCGGCTATTATACGAGCCATTTTCAAGGATGTGTTTTTGCATTTTAATTTTTAACTGTATGTGCAGATTTTTTATATGTTTCTAAAGTGATGGGGATGTTTAATTATTAAGGGTTCAGTTCGACATTCCAACCACCTGAAGAAGGCCGAAGCGTACAACGGCCGAAACGTTATAATAAATATGGCGACAAAGATGAGGACAATAATCCGAATAATATAAATAGTGTACATAATACCTCATCTCAGAAATATAGACAGATACTAAATTCCATCTGACAACTTGAATATAAGAATCTTGCCATTCAAGGAATTGATAGTAAGTTAATGTCTCATTAAGTTATGTTAGCGTTGTGATTTCGCCATTAATCACATTAACATTGCTATTTAATTCTTTGTATTAATTGTTTCTTTATGGTATAAAATATAAGCTGCACACACTAATATATACATATATATATATATATATATATATATATATATATATACTGATGAGTGACATGTGACAAGAACACCAGATATTTAATGGAAATATTTACATAAATGTGAAATTAGAAAAAACAACGAGAACAAAGTAAATCAATAAAATTGCCCTCGGCTTCAAAGGTCAACTCAAAAGCGGTTGCATCACTCGTCGTTCATGTTGGTCATCACGTCCACGAAAGAGGACTTCAACGAGTCCTTTGTATTATGAAGTCACTGGTTGGTCACCCACTTGACGACGGCACAGACATAATAGTCCAAGGGGATTCAACTCAGGACAGGAAAGAGTACTGGGGTGGAAGATACGGCCGTGAAAAATTATTGGCAATTGGATAGGTGTACAATGAAGCGGCCCATGAAAGAAAGGAGAAACAGCTAAATCAGAAAGAAAGAAACCATTGTACGTCGAAGTAAAGGTGTTGAAATCGATGTGTCGATGACGCGAGAACAATGGGGGTTCTGTTGGAGCTTTAGTGCAAGGATTATTTTCCCCGTAGACGTATCTGCCAGCAAATATTTTACGATCAGATTTCTGATCTCTCCGTTAGAGCGCGGCCCGTGACTCAACGATACTTGCAGATGGCCGGCACTTCCGCTTACCTGTTTTGAGAGCTGCCATAGTTACTTAAGAGATAGCCCCGTAGAATTTATGACTAAAATAGATAGAGCCCTCATCGCAAAGGTTATGTTATATTCCATGCTAAGGGAATAAACACATAACACCAGGTAGATACTAGAAGAAAGGTTTATTGTACACAAGTACAATATGAAATACCGTACAGTTATACACACAGATCAATCTAGTAGTGAGTGCCACTAATTGGAAGGTTGAACGTGATTGCGTCGTTTCGCTCTCTTTCTCCAAGTCTCTCGTAGACGGTTGACTTTATAGGTACTTACTACCTATAGTGTAATCATTCATGGGGGTGACTAGGGGGTGACCATTATATCAATAAAATAATTTAAAGAGGATGATGAAGAAAAAATTGCATTTTCGATGAAAGTTTTTTGTGACCTCTCATATTGGAAAAATTTTAAGAAGTCCTAAAGGAATATCTATATTAACTTACAACATTGAAAAGTTGGAAGAAAATCATTTACAAACATTTTTAAAAGTTTGGTTCAAATTAGGGGTTGCAAAGGATGATTTGGCAATATTGGACCTTCGTGCTTGCAAAAAAACTCCCCAAAAAACGGAGTGTCAAAAGGATGGTTTTTTCCATTGACACCGATATTATTTCAACTACCTTCACTCCTCGGCAATGTTTGTTTTAAAAAGCGATTATTATATATGAAGAAAGTGAATTTATATATATATATATATTTTTTTTTGTTCTTGAGAATTTACAAAAAATATTAAACACGATTTATTTATTAAATTATTTATTGTGATGGTTGTCAAAACATCGGCTAATTGCCAGTCAATTCAAACATTATAAAATGGTAAATAATAAGGATTTCCTTATAGTTCATGCAAATATTTTAATAATCTAGTAAATGCTTATAAATTTATGAATAAAAAATTATTTTCATATTTATTTCTTTACAAATTGGTAAATGATAAATATTGCATTGCATTAGTTTTAATTGCAATAGTTTTAAAATGCTTTAAATGTGAAATTATTCTTGTAAATAAACAATCTAATAAATAGTGTTTTGTTTAATATTAGTGTATCAATTTATATATCAATTTTGGTATCAAGCAAGAAGTGGTGTTACATCCAACAGAAAACCTGCCTGCCTGCTGGCGAAAAGAAACCTCAATAAAAAAGTAAAAGAAAATTTTAACAACGAATGCAGCAAAAACCAAAAACAACAAAAAAAAAACCTCTACAAGTAACCGGGGAAATGAAATAAACCAGACCAAAACTCAGAATCTCACCTAAACAGTAACCAAGAGTACTCCATGCCTAAGTTATCAAGACAACAAAAACGCCTCACAGCGTAACAAATGAAAGAGAGACAAAATACAGATCCCAACTTTCTCTCTCTATACGCCCGAGAATAAGCAACCGGGAGACAAAATGGCTACAATTGAAAGAAGATAAGAAAAAGATAAAAAGAGAGAAAAGGTTAAGGAATTAATGCAAAGTGAAAAAAATAACGAAAAGATCAAATAACCCTGACATTCTACACGCACACGCTGACGAGGGCGTGAGCGTAGTATTTGATATTTGAACTCTCTTAAAACGCAACTTCCGCTAATCTTGTTTTTTATTTCGTTTTTCAGTTGTTCCTGGAAGAATTTTTGAATCCCTTCATTGTTTGGAAACCGCAAAATCTGACGAAGCGAAACCGAATTTTATCGGCCTCGCGAAATATAAAATATTACCATGGCTTTCCGATTTGTTACTGAAGTCTCCGATTTGTTAATTAATTAATTAATTTATATATATATATATATATATATATATATATATATATATATATATATATATATATATATATATATATAATAACGTTTTCAAATTTCCGAACTTTCAGAATTTTGAGTATTTCCGCTTGGAGATATTTGGTGTTATCTTTGGCAGTGTTGATTACACTTCCTATGAGACAACGTTGACTAAATTTTGTTGTGGTCACTAGAGAAAGGTTTCCCAAAAAGGACAGTTTATTGCATATCGTTGGAAGGATGGCTGGATGTGGAGCAAAGACCGATGGCAAGTTGATGATTATGGCTGGCTTGCTAGAGCTGATGCTGATGGCCAGCAGCCGTGGGCAGGCGGTCGGCTGCTACTGGAACAGATACTACACTTTGATCATAGTCTCTGGGTTTCGGAATATAGCTAATTACTCATGACTAACCCCACTGAGACGGGATGCGACATAATGTCAGCTATTTAACGTGCGGAATGCGAGCGCATAAACTCGGGTCATTGGTCAAAATTTACCCAGTTCTCCTTACGCGGAATCGAGCACAAAGCTTGTCTTAGCAGGTCATGTCCACAGAACAGATACTACACGTTGATCATTGTCTGAGACGGTTGCGAAACAATGTCGATTTTTTTACGTGGTGAACCCGAGCGCGTACACTCGGTTTACTGGTCAAAATATTGGTCAATTTTTACCCATCCCCTCATATGCGGGATCGAGCACAAATCTTGTCTTAGCTGGTCATAGCCGCGGAACAGATACTACAATGTAAACACAGTCTCTGGACCACGAACCATATGGGTATTTACCCATGCCCCACCCAACACTGTGGCTTGAAGAGACACAAGAATCGAGTTTAATGTGGAGAACCCAAGAGCATAGGTCAAAATTTCACCGAGCCCCAACAACATTGCGTTATCCTCGGTGCGAACACCGATGCGTCTCTCTAGTGCCATGAAAAGATGCAGCCAGGATTGGGCAACTTACAGTGTTATTTTTACCCAGTTGCGCCTCTGTCCTCTGACGTAGCCGCAACTGAGTTGCACTCTTTCCAAAGAAAGAGACGCAACTGAATGATGATAAAACCTAGTCGCATCCCGCTGAAGCGGGATGCGACACAAGGTCAGTTATTCATCGTGGAGAACCCGAGTGGGTACACTCGGTACATTGGTCAAAATTTACGCAGCCACCATTTACGCGGGATCAGGCAAAAAGTTTGCCTTAGCTGGTCATGGTCGCGAAACAGATACTACAATTTGATTATAGTCTCTCTGCACAGCGGACCGTATAGATATTTATATCTCAAGATAAAAACCAAAATTCAGGAAGCCTTCGCTCGGAAATTTGAAAAAGTTAATATAAAATTGGATAGACAGTTCTCTCTCTCTCTCTCTCTCTCTCTCTCTCTCTCTCTCTCTCTCTCTCTCTCTCAGACAAGCAGATTGAAAACAGCTGAGTTCACTAAAACACATTGATCTCCATTTTACCCGCTCCAAGGCTAAGCGCTCAAGTGTGTTATGTGCTATAGTGACAGCTGACGTTGCTCTTCAGCATGTCTTTGTATCTTAGCCATGGCGTCCTACATTCCTGTATCCCTGTTCTAACTGGCTGTACATTAGGATCTTGGGTGTCCTGTCATCAGACATTCTCAAGACATGACCAGTCCATCGTAACCGAGACAGTATGAGAAAAGTCTCGATTCCTCCAATAATACACCTCTTAAACAAGTCTACGTTAGATGTCCTATCTTGAAGGTTAACTCCACAGATTGCACGCAGACAGCTTCTATGGAAAACATCCAGCTGGCGTATATGGTGCACGACTCTGAGCCATACAAAAGGATGGCAAGGACAAGGACAACAGCTCTGTAAACCTGAATTTTCGTATCCAGTCGAATACCCCGCTCATTCCACAAGCGATGGCGATTACTATATATATATATATATATATATATATATATTTTGGAGAGAGAGAGAGAGAGAGAAAGAGAGAGTGAGAGAGTGAGAGAGAGCGACACACACATATATATACATACACACACATATATATACACACACATATATATATACACAAACACATATATATATACACACACGCACATATATATATACACACACACATACACACAAACATATATATCTATACATACACACACACACATATATATATACACACAAATATATATACACATACACGCACATACACACACACACACACACACACATATATATATATATATATATATATATATATGTATATATTCGAATTAATAAAGAAGCAAGGCAAGTATTAAAAACAAAACGAAGATAGTTTCGTACTGTATATATTTTATTTCCTTCTTCTTTTAGCTCAGGAATTAATTAATATCGAGATTTATTTCATTTTTTTATAACGTTTTATCCGGTTTATGCCTCTGTAATTTTGTGCATTCTCTCTTGAAATTGGAATAAGGAAGGTCAGGCGAATGTACAGTAGGAAGATTCTTGCCGTAATCTTCCAAATAGAATCAGCCAATCTGCCAGCAATGAAAAACTGCGTACAAAGTCCTGGATTTGACCTAGAATCAAAAAATGACCTCAAACGCTGGAGGGAAACACGTAGTGATTCCAGCCACAAGAAATTCTAAATCGAAATCCAGGTTCTTCTCACTCCTGTTGAAATAACCCCAGCCTGATTTCCCATGTTTTCAGGGGTGTAGCCGTACTCAGCACGCTTGTTCAATTGCAGAATGGTGAGGCCATTTAACCCATAGCTATTTAAATTATTTTTCACTTGGATTAGTATATTCGCATATTTTTTTTATTTTTCTTACATTACTATTTTTTGCACACGCTTTTTTTTTTTTTTTTTGCAGTTACCGATTATCTTCAAACATTACGCAGTGACGGGGGTGCTGAAAAGTTCTCGGACTGACTCCTTCCCTTAAATCTGATCTAATATCAGAATTTATTTTGATATCCATTTTCGGTCCAGTCCAGAACTTTTCATCGACCAATCGTATATCAAATATTGATTAAAGATGTTAAATAACGTAGCAGTCATGAGTTTTTAACCGTTAACTATATTTTTTTAATCAATTCGCCCAAAGTAAGGCGATAATGCCACTAAGATGCAAGGGGCTAATGGGAGTGAAAGTGAATAAGAAGATTTTAAGAAGGGGCCAGAAACCCAGTTCTAAACAGGAAACAAGAAATAAACTTATACTCCTGTTCAAAAGACCGGGAGGAGAGTGAACCAGGCGACAGACGAATCTTTACGGAAATCACATTAATATTAAATATACACAACCAAACACCTGCTTCTTTTAATGCTGCTTCCAGTCCAGCAACAGTTGTCTTAATGTTATCTAGCATAGAAAATTTGTATCCATTTTAAAAATCCCTTGAAATCGATTGAAAGTGACGTCTTTCTTATCTGCCCTTATAATTAAATAAAATAGGTCTTCTGGTTAAATAAACGCTTCACACGTTCAACACAAAGGACTTTAATGAGTGATTTCGCTGTTTTCCCCGTGAAACGATAATTAACGTCCCCTTTTTGTATTCGTTCCCTGTCTTCATTTTGTTCTCCGTTATGACTAATAGCTGCTCTCCAGCGATGTTATTTAGTCTCCATGAAATCTGCATTGACTTACTGTTGGCCGACACGCACTTGCTCCAATTTCTATACGCCCCTAAATTTCTGTCTATCGCAAAGAACGGGTATTCTCTCAAGGAGACACCTTGCCGTGAACGCCTATTGCTACTTAGGCTCACCCCAGACCCCATGTGGAACCCGTATCTACGATCTATCTCTAAAGATACTAGAAAAAAAAATGCTTGGTTCCTTGTACGGCTCTGCTAACTGACTCCTCCTGCTAACCTGTATCTTTACAAGAATCAGACCAGGCAGAAAATGGGGCTATATCTGAGCTGGTGATATCCAGTCTTCATTTTCTATTTTTGATAGAGCCCCAAAGCGTCTACGCGGCCTTGTGAGTGATGAATTGTTTTCCACCTTACAGCTCTTTTCCCACAGACGAAATAATGCAAGCCCGGGGTGGGGTGAGGTGGGGGTGTTAATCTAAGATGTTCTAACGATTTATATTCTTAACCTAACCCTCCCATCTAAGACTCGCCACTCCGCGTACACTGAAGCGAACCACCCTCATACCCTTCGTATTCTTTTCGTAAGAAGAAAGTTCCATTCTTCACAAGAATTGTTGCTTTGTGGAACAGAATTCCTGGAGGTTGCTTTCTCAACCACTGCAACTTTAACCTGTCTAAGATTAACAGTTATCATTCCTACATATCCGCATAAATTGCGCCCCTTACCGCTCGCACAACAACCTCTTTTAGTAACCCTCTACTTTGAGTGGCTCTTGGGTCTTGTATAAGGTGAACATTAGTAAAAAAAAAAATTAAATGATAAAGTGTGGCAAGCTGAGAGGCAGTTTAATGTAATTGAACGAGCAGATAATTTTTTTCTCCCACTGTTATCAAGAAAATGCTGGTTAAGTGTGTTACGGTTTTTTGGGTATATATACTTATAACTAGTGAGCGAGTCAGAATGACTTATTTCCCTTTATAGTCGACCAATAGAAGGTTGACCAATCAGAAGCCGCCCAACACTGTATTCATAGTGTATAAAGGCGGCCATCTTGTTTCCTCCTACCAGAAGGACAAAAGGCGACCAGGAGAAGGATGAACTACACTCTGCTGTGATATCCACTGCGAACCTCCACTACGCTTTCCTACTGTCTCCGAAATATTCACTGCCAACCTCTGGATTCTATACTCGAGGACGACCGTCATGAAAATGTCTAACAAAGAGTTTGATGAAACTGGTGAGGGTAACAATCCTGATTTCATGTTGATGCGTTGTTTGGCAGTGGAGAAATTTCAGAGGGAAAATTAACAGGAGATAACTGATAACTGACATCCATCAAAACATGGCACGTGGAACTAGAACAGTCTACCCCAGTGAGCGAAATAAAGGGTTCAGTTCGACATTCCAACCACCTGAAGAAGGCCGGAGCGTACAACGGCCGAAACGTTGTGATAAATATGGCGACAAAGATGAGGACAATAGTCCGAATAATGTAAATAATAACTTGTGGAACATTTTATCACGAACGACTGTAATTTCGAAAACACTTTAAAATACACATTGTGAAAAAAAAATATTCAGAATCCACTGACCTTTCAACTCTTAATAAAGAAGATAATTACATATGCAAATTATTAATGTCCCATCTCGGGGGAATGAACAAAATGACAGGAGAGGTCGATAAAATTTATATTAAACGTTTTGATCAATTGTTTTTCCTAGTTAATTAATTTGAAGATTTACGACCCATCATGTTACTCACGTTTAAGTTGCATTCTGTTCACGCTGGATGTTTTTCATTTGCTTTGTTGCGTTGATTACAATTACAATTGATTTGCTCAAGACTAGCGAATTTTTGTACAGATTTGTATTTTTTTATATTTCATACTTGCATGCATTTGTAAGCATAACTTGAAGAAGAAAAACAGACATAATGTCGAAATATTGTTAAACGTTTTTAACATTCTTTTTCTTTTTTGAAAAATCGCGTCAATGTAATATCATTATTCGCGCTCTCCGTATTATTATTTTTTTTTAATTATTTTCTTTGATTATCCTCCCGGGTCCCAACCAGAGACCTAAGGTCAGAAATGGCTTCATAGCATTTTCTACTGAGTATTTTTGTAAAAAAACAAAACAGAAAAACCTTATGATCAAACACATTTTACACAGATAAAGCCCTTCGTATTGTGTGCGCTATACTTGTGAGTACAATATTTTTGTATTTCTTTAAGGCATGGATTATCAGAGTCTGTTCACTGAGTCTATTGCTCCCTTTTCCAATCAATACGATGGCTCCAACTACAACTAGTTTTGTTGATGTCCTCATGTGCCACATATTTGAGATTTCCACTTCAAGACCCTTGTATTTTGCTAGTTTTTTTGAAGATATTCAAAGACACATTACAATCTGCAGGAACTGTCATGTCAATAAAAGAACATTCTTTGATCACGATGTCAGGAAGATTAACTTTGATCGTTGTCTGTGCGCATTGTAAAGTCCCATAAAATTGTTACGGGTCCTATCTCTGTAATCCAATGATGTTCATACTAGTTGCTTGCTGTTTCCTTTCCGTAAAAGTAGTATATTTTCCAGTGCAGATATTGGCCCACTCTATCATGCCGAGTTTTATATTCAGTGGGTGCTAACACTGTGAAACCTGGTCAATTGTTTCTGGATATTTATCACAGAATATGCATTTCGGGTTAACACAATTTTTCAGTATAGGTGCTTAATTATTTCTAGTTAGCAAGCATTGGTCCTGTACAGCCTGAATAAAACTTTCGGTTTCAGCTTTCAACCCTGCATTACGTAACCACTGATGGGAACGGGGTTTGTCTACATCAGCTTGTTTGGT